CGTAGAGAGAGAGAGAGAGAGAGAGGATATTTAACATGGATTAAAGATTTCTTAAAATTTCGTGATAATTCAATTTGAATTTAATGTTTAAACAACAATGTTCTTTCTATACCTTTCAAAATTGTTTGAATAATAATTTTGTCTAGCATCTAGCACTTTATTCGTGGCCTGTCCCAAGGTTCGTTAACTCGTGGTCTCGTTTTAAGACGTTATTACTACGATGATCGAATACCGCCTTATTACCACTTCACGTCGTCTTCCATCAAAATGGAGTCGAGTCTAACGTAAGCTACACGTTAAGGAGGGGAAGATGGACGAGTGTTTCACTTGCATTTTATTAACGTCACATTTTAGACCGTTCATTACTTAATCCCATACCCTTTCTTTTTTTTCTCTTTCTCTTTCCCTTTATATTTTACTTTTTATAACACAAACGCGTATATATTAAATTTCAAAAATTCAAATTCAAAATTGAAATTCTTCTTTCATTGAAATAACACGCAAGAATTAATTATACACGATACATTGTACAATTATGTTATCACATTATTTAGTTACACAGTATTACACGCGCATCGCTTCGTCTAACGTAAACTTAAATTGCTCATAACTCATCCATAAATAATCCGACCAAATAATCCACCTTCAAAGCCATCTCACGAACGTAACTTCAGCTTCAAACTTGTATATACGTAACTTTCAACTGATTATTTACACGTCGCGTCATCTTCTCATAATTCTCGAAATTCTCATCTAACCGATATAAATCGAAATATTGACACGTCCTTTTCAGAACGAAAGACGAAAGAAAAAGAAAGGAACAAATAGATGGATAAAGAAAGAGGATGAAAAATACGGTAGCCTTGTTGTTGTTTCGCGGTGTGCGTGAACACGCAACAGAGCGTAACGTATGGCCGTTTGCTTTTTTACGCGTCTGCGGATGAATCGGTAACGGCATTTTTCGCCAAGTGACGATAAATTACAGCGGCCGTGGCGACGTGTGCAGTCATCCGCGCGAGATATGCGCGCGATAAATTCGATGGATAATCGGTCGGAATGGCGCCGTCACGGAGAAGGGGAGAGGCACAGTCGAAGGAATTATCCAGTCCTCGTTCGATCGTGGTCTCCATCCATTTTAAACGAAATCGAACGAACGGGAAAAAAAGAGTTTGCTTCTTGTTTGTGGCATTCTAATTATTATTAATATTCATCTGTTTCATTATATTTGCCATTTCGAATTGTATAATCTTTTAAAGTCGAAACTGAACTGACTTTGAATATTGCACACATTGGTGATGTCTGAACTGATGCTCGAAGCGCTATCTATTGCCGTACGAATGTACGATCGTTTATATACGATACGAGTTTCGAGCGAACGAATAGCGATACTTCAACTATTTTGCGGCCAATTGTAATGATTCTAATTTAATGCAAACTGTATCGTTGCTGAATTCTATCTCTGTATTTTATTTCTATTTTAACTGATTTAAAAGACAGTCGTTTGTTTGTGTTTCTTCCAATCCTTATTTTTCATGAAAATGCACACTAAGAGGAGCTTCAGGAGGTTTGCGCTCGCTTCCACGGTGGTCCGTCAGGAGGCGTGCAAGTATGACTTGTGAGGTGGTATATCTCTGTGTAAATTGAGGATCTGGAAAGCGTTAAGAAATTATACCCGCTCGTAAATTATTGTTAGTCCATTGAAAATACTCGAGTTGTTGTAAAGTAAAAGCCAGGCTCTGTCTTATCCTTCGTACATAATCCGTGTCGAGATCTTTGCATTACACGTTAAATTTGAAAGAAATTAGGATATATAAATCTTTATTTAAAGAATGAAACGATAAAGAAACACTTAGTTGCGATATAATCCAAATCTAAAGATTAAATATCAGTGTGATCTCTCTATATCCTCTCCTAAATTGACTTCAACTTACAGGTTGGAAAAGACCTACCTTAATAAATCAAGGCTTCTAGAGCAGACGACGACCTCCCTGTCTTATAAGACGAGAAATTTCTTCGTTCTCTTGAGAGATGAGAGTGCGGATCGATTTTATATCGCTCGATTGTCCGAGCAATCGTTTCCTTCGAATTTCTCCACCGTGATAACGTATTGCTCCTCGCGCAAAAGTATCCTTGGCCGCAAGAAAAAGTCGAAAAGAGGGAGAGAGAGAGAGAGAGAGAAAAGAGAAGGACGGAAGTCGCGGCGAGATAACGGTCTACCGTAAGTTCCGGACAATGTGTTCGATAGGCGAACGCTTTTGTCGTAGATTAGCAGCACGATTCGAGCCCTTGAAAATCTAAAGAAAGATGGGGAACGGGATATTGTTTTCTCGCTATCTAAACGGGTCTGACTTGTCAGAGGAAAGGAGGGGGATCGTGGAGATTGGCCACGTCGAACGTCGATTCGATGAAATGGTTTTTGACTTTTTCCGACTTGAAGCTAAAGGAAACGTCATTCGAAGGAGTGTATTTTCGTTTCGTTGGACGAGATGGAGGATCGAACCCATTTCTGCGATTTCGTTCGTTCATCTTATCATTCAATTCCGTCAATTATTTCCTTTTTCGTAATTTTTCAAGATTTTTACGAGACGTAGGAGAGTACATTGTGCTCACGAGCAATATATTGCATATACAGCGTGGATTAAACGGATAACATAGTGCACAAGTATGTTCTTTCTCGAGTGAAAATAAGAAAAGATTGTATAAACGCAAACGCTTTAATGAAAGAGTTTTAATAAAAAGTGATATGAAGTGTATCGTTCAATTCGTGGCAAAAAATTAATAGGATTAAAACGAGATAAAGATAAATTCAATTTTTCTAAGATGTCAAGCTTGCATAAAGACCGTTTGCCAAAGACTTATGTTTTATAATTAATATAAAACATTCTTCTCTTATTTTTATTGATCCTTATTCAATCCTATACAGTGTAATCGATTAATTAGAATTTAAGACGGCATTCGTAAAAACGAATAATCGAAACCTGCGTTTAATTTAAAATAAATACCGATCTCCTTTATATTCCTCTACTATATTTCCAGTAGTTTCATCCATTTAGAGAGTTAAAAATATTTGACGA